AAACAGTCTCGTGTTGGGGTGAGGGATTTCAAGCACCGCAGATCGCGGAATATGATCCAATCAGATCACAGAAAGGGTCAGAGGGAATTTACTTGTTTAAGGTCACGGGTGAGAGGGACGAGACGATCGAAAACGATGGAGCAATCTCACTGTAGTTTTCCTCGCCCCCATATCCGACAGACCCCACAGCAATTAATAACAATCCTTTGTTCAGGGTGAACTCTGTCAAATATATCTTGATGTAACCATTGGTCAACCCACATCCACAACTGCATTGGTAAACCGCGGTGCCTATCATTTTGAATCCGAAAGCTCAGGCAGTTTCGTGCATCCCAGTCAGTTTTTTCTACCTTTGTTTATCAGTGTACTTTCTCCATCTTACTCTATTGTTCCCCAGTCATTTTTTCCTGGCTTTCTCAAACAATTGTAAATTCTTACGCTGCGGTCGTGTCTCTTCTATTCCTGTGAATGAGTTAGCTTTAAAACTTTCACAATGTCGTGTAACTTCCTGTGTGGAATTTGCTGAGAGGATTCTCAGAGATCCTGACCACCCATTGTACGCAGAAATGACACGATATCGTTCCCATCATTCAACACGCTCTCAATTCCGCCGAACTTCATCTCGAATTAACGGTTACCGCAATCCTACTATACCGTATCTTGCTCGTGTACTCATAAACAAAGAGCGGACAATGAGTGAACTTTGTCTTAACCTTGGGTTATGAAGTATCCTCATGTCTGAAATTTTTTCATAGTTTGCTATGTGCACTGTGGCGGTTAGCGTGTATGATTTTTAACTGAAATATGAGCTCCAGTGCTTGGAAAAGTTATGCACAATAAACAATTCACAACTGGTCGCATGATTGTCAGTACTCTAGCTCGCAGTCATCTACCCTACTCTCCGTTCCACAGTTCCGTATTTCATAGTTTTCCTGGTAATCCATCAGTCATATACTTATAACTTTCCCCTTTGCAATTCAATGCTAATGTATTACTCTCCCCTTTCCCCATTCAGGTTTTCCATTCCCCCGCCATATCCTGTGCTCCGAAATCGATTCGCAATTCACTCTGGCTGTTTACCTGAAGAGACAAATTCATTGTTCTCGAGTGAACCTCGCAAATGGAAAACGGTATCCCCGAAGGGTATCATTCGCATGAGATTCATGACACCCTTTATGTTGTACCACTTCGCTATTCCGGCTTTCAGTCCATAGGATATGGTGCTCAGGGAACGGTTGTGTAAGTCATAGTTGACGTACTTTTAACTTCGCTTTTGTTTCTCTCTCTAGTCATGCACTATGTCGAATGAGATCGTACAGAACCGAATGGGACCGATAGACTTCTGTACTTCCTGGACTGCTACACAACCTGCTGTGAATGTGAATAGGAAACCTGATCTCTAGCATGCGTTAATCTGTCGTGTTGTATTTCTTTTTCTTAACTGATCCCTCACACTTATTGGTATGTTTCCCTAAACTACCATATGGGACACGGTAAAACGCACAAATCAACACATCAGCATTAGCACTCGTGATGCAGTTAGAACTGGAATCTTAAGACCATCTTAAACTGTGAACAGATTATTTTTGTCTCACCTTTCGTATTACTTCGATGGCATAGTTTCGGTGATAATCGCTTCAGAGGGAATAGCTTAGTTTTCATCCACCAGTGCGATAATATGGCTTTCTTTATTGGGCAACATATGCTGACTTACCATCACAGGTCCCTGGCTTACGAATGCTGACCATCTTCATTGAAAAGTAAGTTCTGGTGATCAGGTGACTGATGTCGTGATCGTATGACATCCAATAGAAAACAGTCTGTCTTGGTTTTACTAAGGCAAATGGTTTTGGTGACCAGACAAATGCATGAGACATTTTTTATCCTTCTTAACACATAGATCTCATGAAAATACTAAATATATGCTATCAGCAGTGAGAGCGAATTAATTCCAGAAAATATTAGGTTTTCTAAATCGGAATGCACAAACTCAATTATAGCACTTGAATGAATAATTGAAACTGCACTTATCAACTTATAGTTTAGGGTGGACTTTAAATCAGTAGAGTCTTTGTATTGTGCGTTCTTCTCACTTTGATCTGGCAATCGTGAGCACAGACAAACTGAACCCTGACATTGAGGCTTACTTACAACTAGGGAATGCCCTGGTCTTCCCAACATGATGTTACATCAAACCAGAACAATAAGTGTCACTGAGCATTGTGTTGATTGATGTGCGTTGAATGAAAGAACATTGGAGAGAAGACACACTGTTAGTACAACGAAGATTTGATGAATATCGTTCAGCTCAGCTGGGATCATTGAAGTTTGGCATCAAAAAGCCTCAGCAGTTGCCGCTATTTCATACTGGTCATCCTGCTTACAACACTATGACTTTCCGTCCAAAACGCCCTATATTAGTGGTAGTTTTAGTAATTGGGTAGTGGTAGCGCAGTGGTTTAGTCACTGTCATCGGCGTGCTTTGGACCCTGTGGTCCGAGGTTCGCGCCCCGCCACCGCTACCCAACTTCGGTGATAGGCAGCTTTGCTGTCGTCCGGTTCAATACCACACCTAATCTATCGGGGCCTTATGTGGTTCACCACTCCAAGTCCTGGGGCTTAGGTTGCCGGTTTCCATCACTGAACAGCAGGTCTCCGTGACTGTGGGGTTTATCCTGTCTGTTGTTCAGCACACGTGGGTGTATAATAAAAAAATCCTAAGACGATTTGTCTCGCTTCGGACAAAGAAGATCGGAGCTCAAGACTGTGCACAGCACTCATTAATTTTGGGATGCATTTGTTTGCCCATGGAGTAATTCATATTTGTCTGTGTTTTAGTCTCAGCGGATAAAAGCACACGCATGAATGCGAGAAAGAGAGGAAGACTGTGTGCGTGAACATTTGTGCACTGGAGTTGGACTCAGGTTACAACAGAAAGACTGAAATTTCGATTTGCGCCTTTTAGTGCATGATTAATGTGTCCTCATAATGGTCACACCGCACAGTGGTTTGCATCCTGTTCAGTCTTATGGACATTGCAGATTAATTAAATCAGGTTGTAAAACTTTCCGACCGAGTTGTAGTCGTTGAAAGTTATTATTATTTATTGTTATTATTATCATCAATATTATTGCCATTATTATGTCTCCGATGTGTTTATTCCGGTTTTGCAGATCCCATTTTCTTTGTTTTATGTCCGGTGTATTCTTTTGTTAAATCAACGCCAACTCCCCATCACCACTACACATACCAGTCATTTGTATTGATTTTCAGAATAATCGTACTTTCAGGCTTTCTACCACACGGTTTAAATGTAGGAGTTCTCGAAAAATTGTGTTCACAAATGACTGACCCTATTTTTTTTTATTGAGATTCAGAGGAGCAGAGGGTAACTTAGGTCTGGTACACATTTTCTCTTCTATCTAAACAAACAGAATGTCGACGTTTTTTCAAGTTAATCGATTTCATCATCTCTTCTATTCAGGTCTGCCGACGATTCTGAGCTGAAAACACGAGTGGCTATCAAAAAGCTTCGCACACCATTCCAAAATGTCACACATGCTAAAAGAGCGTACAGAGAACTCGTCCTAATGCGACTACTGAAACACAAAAATGTACGTGTTATATTTCGTCCCATCCTGTTGCGTAATCAGTTGATCGCTTGAATTATATGGAGGGGGTGGTTCGTTTCTTTACCATTCCTTGCCTCTGGTCGGCAGAATCCCCAAATTTCGGTTTTTTGTGCTTCGTAGAAAACCCAATCAACCATTTGTCTTTTTTTCACATTCAATTTTTCCTGGTTTCCCCTATATACATCAATTTACGGCATTTCTCAACTACCCCGGCTTACGCGTATAGCATCTGACAGAATCTAACTTTTCCTTCTGGAAGCTGAACGGTATTGATTCTACTGTCAGCGGTGGTTCTTCAACTAACCTTATTCATTTGCTGCCTAAACCACCAAGGAAGTTGGCCCCGAAAGTTTTGTTGCTGGTTACTTTGGGATTTTTGCGGTCATATCTACTTTTGAAAAAAAGTCTCTAAATAGCGCAGTTTGAGAAAAGCATACGGGAAGTTGCCTTTGCCATCTCTGCCACAAACATTGTGGTAGAAAATGGATTGCTTTGCTGGATACTATGTTATGTGATTGTTTATGCGAGGTTTCCTATATTTTTTGACCAAGCAAGCGATTCCTCAATGGTTAGTTACTCGCAGTGAGACTTCCAAGACCGTGGGGATTTTCAAGGTCGATTTTACACACGTGCCGCCTAACAGCACCCATCTCATTGTAATTGAAAATCTGTTTGCCTATTCTCAAATGAGAAAGGGAATATGCTCACATATAGTTTCACTTTGGATTCTGAAGTCCGATAAGTAGTGGCCGACCGTGTGACCGTAACTTGTTGAACAATCGGTGCACAGAATAATACGAAACTGAGAACTACCAAAAAATTATTGATCTACTTCCAATTTATCTTATGCGCACCATTTTACATGTTTTTGGTAAGTAAGTGTCATTTTTATGTAACTTCAGAGATTACACTTTATCGTCTCATGACAGGCTTCCACAGCACTTAATCATCGATTTAAAAACATTAAATGCATACTGTTATTGCCTGCTTGCGACGAAACGCCCAAACATTTGTCTATAAGTAGTCCACGGAAACATGCCCATAACAAACATCATGAGTCTTCATCATTGTGCAAGCTGCGTGAAATGAGTGCCGCTTCTCTGACCCATCCATGTGGAACAGTTCTGAGTGCAGTTGGTAGCTCTCAAGTTTGTCAACAGATTATTTCTTTGGCCTCTATATTGATTGAATCATTTCTTTGAGATTGACTATGAAACACGTGATACCGACTGTATAACAATGAGGCGCGTTGTTCATCAATCATTTTGGGAGGTCTTGGGGATATAGTTCATCTCACTCACGTATGCTGTTCCTTTCAGTGTGTGTTGGATTTGTCATGGGGTTCTTTTTTCCTGAGGTGCGTAGTACAATAATTACATAGGTTTCACGAAGCACTCCATCCGCTCGTATCACGAGAAGTTTTGTTTACCTCTGTTCTACGCTGTCACTTTTCACCTTTTCCCCTCTCAGATCATATCGTTGTACAACATCTTCAGTCCTCAAAATACGCTGGAAAATTTTCAGGATGTTTACCTCGTCATGGAGTTAATGGATGCCAATTTGAGTCAGGTATGCCGTTTTCCACAACCCCTGTCTTGCTGCTACCCCACATTGTGTGTGCGGAAAAAATGTGCACGTGATTTTTGCGATCGTATTCCCCTCTGTGTTAGCACGTCTCTCTTTTTCGAGCATTTTCCTAATTTGTCTATCTTGATGTAAATAAAAACTATAAACTTGTTGAGGCGACCAAGATGAATCGAAAACTGAGAGCGAGAAACTGTTGAGAATACGAAGAGGATTTGGTGATTGTACTTCAGTCTATGTGAACAAAGCACATTGAGCTGAAACTTATAAAATAAGTTGTATGTGTGATACACAGACTTTAGATGAGCTTATTAATAAAATACGGATATTGACAACAATGACCGCCCACACAATTTCCACTACGTGGTTCAATAATTTAGGCTGACGGTATTGACTCCTCTGGAATGGAATTATCCGTTGCCACCTCTATAGATAACATTTAGAGTAATCAATGGTCCAATCATCAGCTGCATATTTTAAGGTAGCGTTCTAAAAAGTAGGAGAGGCGAAAAATGACGGTTTTGTGGACAGCAAGGTAATTTATCATTGTTCGTGCAGTAACCCAGACGGAATAGTATAAGCTGCGTTGTGCGTCACCGCGGAACAAGCAATATTCACTGGCAACTGAATTCCCGCATGTAGTACTCATCGAAGAACAACGAAGGGACTTAATTGACAAAGTGGGTTTCACTCGATGAAAAAGAATCACTGTGTGCACGAAACACTCATCATAACCATGGTTCAGCGATTTTTCATCGAAACAAACTTCGCTGATCGCTGCCAAGCGCAAAATGTATACACAAAGTATGAATATGTAGCAGTGTTATAATTCCACAAGACGGTGCTGGTCGAGGATAGTTCTTTATTGCCAACAGCGTTCGAGATATGGTTGAATTTTCGTTCATACAACAAAATATCTCATCTGGAACAACGTTGCAAATTTGCCACACACACACACGGGACAGTTCATGGACGAGTCACCATTAGATGCGCATTCTTGTATTCACCGTACCGAACGTCAGCGGTTTGCTCCAACAGGTCTTGTTGATTTTTGGTCGTTGAAAGAAACCGCCGATCGCATCCTTTTGCGTACTACTCACAGGTGAGTAGCATCTTACAACAGCAGAATGTACCTATGAGGAGAAAATAAAGTGAATTTCTATGGTTCGTATATGGAGTACACTTCCTAGCCGTTCATATACACCTTTCAGTCATTCCGATCTGATGGGAAACACCTAATTTACCCGCAGGATCAGCTGCTCGGAGAACTGCTGGCTTCCATGTATATCCATTCTCGTCCCCGGAGAGGTCGCTTCAGCAAATAAGCACGGGGACAGACAGTCTACCGGTAGAAAAACCCCACTAGAAGCACGTATGAACGGGGTACCTTGGACTTCTTCCCGACAATGAGAAGTCCTCGCGCATCATTGGCTGGGTAGCCCACAGCCAATAACGTGCTGTCCCGTCCACATGCCGCTTGTTTCATCGGGTGCATGAGGCTAAGGACCAATCCCGAACAGCGGACCGATTATCAACGCACCAGCGGAGAAAACACTAAACTGAAACCCAAAGACCTTGTGTGACAGGTCTCTAGAAGCTCCGACACGTACGCCTCAGTCACGCTCTCGCGTTCGATCTACGACCCACTGTCTTGTTGGTCAAAGGCTCCGGTTAGAGTTCTCAATTAAAAGGCCCTTCATCAGTGTAATCTACCGCGAAGTACGCCGTGCCCTGAAGTCTTAGGCACCCATTTGGAGGGACCGCTTTCTCATCTGTCTCATTCTTTCTCTCAATCCCGAATAATCCCCGACGCCTGTTTACGCCACCCATCGAATAGCACTCAGCGTTTTACCAGTAAGGCCAAAAATCGAAAGGTTCAGGGTTTGTGAAGCCGAAATTCCCTCTCCACTTAGCCGCGTTCAATGTCCGCACACTATCAAATCGGTCAACAAGCTGCCTTAGCTAGAACCTTTGAAACTTTCAAGTTCGATGTATACTGTGTCTCCGAAACTTGTATTCAAGACCCTACTTCGATCATTTCCCTGCATTCTCCTAATCCAACCTCAAACTCACGCTTCACCCTTCGTGTGTCAGGCGATTTGGCATCCGAAAATCGTAGTGTTGCTGGTGTTGAGATTGCGCTAACTGCCAAGGCTGATCGTTCGCTTCTCGGCTGGATTCCACTCAGTAGCCGGCTGTGCGCTGTACGTCTCCACGGTTCAGCACGGATCAACAGCTACAGAACGAAGCGTCGATGCATGTTCGTCGTAGCGGTGTATGCACCGACCGATTGCAATGCACCTGAAATCAACGACGAGTTCGACAAGGACCTTTCAATTATTCCAAAGTATTCGATTAATGGACGTCGCAGTAGTCGCCGGGGACTTCAATGCTCAAGTGGGATCCCATGAAGGAATCAGAAAGGCTTCTTGGCGGATCACATGCAATCCCAGGCAACCGGACGAACAACGGGGATCGCTTACTTCAACTCTGCGGGGACCACGGATTGTTCCCGTCAAGCACCAAATCCTCATACAAGAAAGGACACCGCCTTATATGGAGACCACCAACCTCTTCACAGCGATGGACCTAAATCGACCACATCGCCATCAGTTACCACTGGAGGGGCTCAATTCGAGACTGCTGCTCTTACTGGTCAACACCTTGCTATTTGTCAAATTCTCCTTACACCCGGCAAACAACCCTAAACAAACCACCGACAATGGATACCCGTGATACAATGTCAGCGATGGTTTCAAATCGACCTTCGAAGCGGAGCTCTCCGATCGCCTCTCAGTTCAACCACCAGCCGAAGGACTCAGTGAACATTGGAAGCAAATCAAGGAAGTGACGCAAATATGGAAAGAAACAACGTCAGACCCTCACACAGACTCAAAACATAAACAATGGGTCTCATCGACCTTGGCTCTTCTGCCGGACGCCCGCAGAACCCTTCCTCTCGATGCCGCATATGATACAGCGCGCAAATCCCTCAAACGTCAGCTCATCAAAAGTCTAAGGAATGACCGAGAGAAGTGATGGATAGGGAAGTATAGAGAGATGGAGAAAGCTGCGGCTATTGGTTATATTCGCAACCTTTTCCGTCTAATTAGGAATACGAGCATCAGGATAATAAACGTAAATGAGGTAATTAAGGAACCCAATGGTACATTGATTCACTATCAGCAACGCCGTCTTGATCGATGGGCTGAACATTTCGCGGCTCGGTTTAACTGGCCCCCATCGACATCTGTCTGATCACCCTTCACCGCGACTGCGCAAATTCTGCAAGTCGATGCCAGTCCTCCACCTGAAATGAAGGTTTCCCGGGAAATAAGCTACCCCAAAAGGCATAAGGCCCCTGGCCCAGATCGCCTGTTCCCATCGACGTTTAAGGATGGAGGCCGTGTGTTAGTCTTGGAGTTGACGAAACGCCTGAACTCAATATGGGGAAGAGAAGAGATTCCAGTTGAATGGCGTGAATCGCTGATCATACCGATTTACAAGAGAAGTGACAGATCCTCTTGTGAAAACCACAGGGGAATTAGTTTAATCAAAATTGCTTCTAAACTTCTCGCTGGTATCATACTCCATCAATTATCTGCCGCAAGTGAACGGTGTACGCATGAGAACCAGGCTGGTTTCAGATCTGGTCGAGATTGTATCGACCACATCTTCACTCTTTGCCAGACTCTGGAGCACCGACATTCTTTTCGTGGACCCACCATCCCTGTCTTCCTGGATCTGAAAGTGGCTTTCAATACAGTCGACCGCTCTAAACTCTGGTGCCGCCTTTCTCTGAAAGGTGCGCCCGAGAAGTTTATTTCAATATTACGATCCCTCGACACTCATAGCCAAAGCCGATTCCGAGCACACGGCACGTTTTCACTCGAGTTCACCACGGAAAGTGGTGTTCGACAGGGTTGCCCTCTCTCCCCTTTTCTATTTAACTTTGTTATAGATCTGATTATGGAAACAGCTCTATCCTCGTGCGAGGATAGCGGTATCGATTTACTCCCAGGTGGCAGCTATATCTCACCTGGCGGACGCATCACGGGTGAAGTGTCAGCTCGCATACTGAAGCCCCGATTGGCACTTGCTAACTTGAGACATCTGTGGTGCTTTCGGGACATCCGTCAGTAAAGGGTCGAGTGTATGCCGCGGCAGTTCAATCAGTTCTACTATATGGAGCAGAAACTTGATCATTAAGGAAGCAGGATAAGGACAGACTTTCGGTGTTCGAACACCGCTGTCTAGGCAGCATTGCACGAATCTGGTGGAGCAGCCGGACGAGCACTGCTGAGGTTAGGCGCAGAGTTTTAGATAATTGTGGTCGCCCACTGGAACAAGTGGTCGGCCTCCATAGTAGACTACGTTGATTGGGGCATGTGTTACGCATGCTACCAAATAGGTTGCCACGGCGAGCGATGTTTGCCGAGGCAGGTAGTGGGTGGAACAAAGCCAAAGATGGTCAAGCTAAGACCTGGCATGAGGGTATGAAAACCCTGACCAGGAGTCTGGGCCACATAGGTCCCGTTAGACTCCCTGGATGGGGACCTCGGGATGATCGTACCCGATGGTTAGAGACACTGAGTGATATGGCTGGGTATCGTAAACAGTGGCGTTCGTGCATCTTCCCAATTTCTCTGTATCATTAGTCCACTGAACTTTTCAATTTTCTCTTCGATTCCACTTTCAACCTTTTCTGTTTTTCTCGTACTGTTCATCCAAATGGTAATTTATTACCGGCTGTTGGTGGTGCATGGTTGTTTGTTTATAAAGTGAAACTGATAGTTTAGGTATGATTGGTTCTACGGCTTTGAAAAGATGGCGGAGTCATGCTGCCACACAACCCATCACGAAACTCAATATATAGTCTCGTCGTAGTCATCGTACACGTGATTCAAAGAGCCATGAAGAATTCTGTGGATTTGTGCTAAGCGAGTGTAGATTTCATAATTAAATCTACAATTTAAATTAGATAAACTCCAACGCCAGTTATGCTACTCTGCGGTTTCTTTACCCGCTATAAGTAAGCTGTTTTCAGGGGATTCGTAAACACTCGCTGCTAGCGTCTGAATCTCAATACTACTGAACTCCCAGTATTGTATCCTTTCTTGATGACTAAGATTACGAAATGGAAGTATTTCACGAAGTTCGAGTTTGACTGTTTTTTAACTAAAAAATGGCTTAGGAGACAGTTGTTCTGATAGGCGCTCGCCTGTAATAATTTGAAATGGTCAATCCATTGTATCTAAAGCAAAGTGTATCTTCTTCATTTAGTAGAGATTTCCGTAATACTTAACCATTGATGAACACCGAATTCAAAACAATTTAGGCCGATGGTGCATCAAGGACGAAGCACCCATAATGCTGTGTGCTGTATGCAGTGCAAACTAAAATACTGCTAGCTGGATAAACAGGTGGTACGAGTTGAGGTAGTGCGAGGTTGAAGACGCGTAAAATTACAGCACTCACGGATGAGCATAAATTAACTTGAACTCCATAAAGTATTTTTGACTGTGTAGTTTCGGTTAAAGCGAAGTTCACTGTACTTATACTAATCATAAAACGATAGAGCTATAGGGGAAGGCCTTCGTGGAAACAAATCATTAAGGGTTTCCCATAAAAGTGTAACTTACTTGTCTCGTATGCGAATTCTCTAACAGAAATGAAAACCAGTGCTGACAATCCTGTTGTTACTTGATATCAATTTTTTCGTTCGAATGTGTTGTTCACAACCAGTTTGCACATTTACTTATCAATGGTGCATTCCCTCGCTATGTGCAGTACTGACTTTGTGTTTTTCCTCAAACAAGGCCAGTCAAATCGATCGATCGATCGATCTAGATACATTGCTTGATTTTTTATGAGAGTAATGGAGGATTTAATTTGTTTATATGATGAGTTCTTCGTGTAAATGAGGCGTGAGCTGAAAAGTTGGGAAGCACTGGACAACTGTTTCGACCCGGTTGGGTCTCATCAGCAGTGCGAATCCATCGAACCAACTGGGGATCAAACCCGGGACCTCACGGAAAGAATGCAAGCATACTATCCACTCGGCCACCGTGCAACTGCTCAGACCGTTTCTCATATTGAACATACACGATACAGCACAACCCATCTAAGCGACCTTATTGCTATTATCGGTCCCCGCTCATTTCAGCACTAGCCTCCAAGGTTATGAATCGGTTGGAAATTTTCACAATCAGATAACTTGTTGTATAGTGAGACCCAGTCAGGTCGAAACTGTTGCGTATCGAAATCTAACTGAACGAATACACACTGACTGTGGTCTCAAGCTGTGTTCTCTCTTCGCGTTATCCTGTGGGGGTAAGCAAGAGCCGCTCTTGTCATTTGTACGGCTAATCGAAACAGCTGTCCAGTGCTTTTCAGCCTAGGCCTCATTTACACGAATTCATCATATTGCCTGATTTTTTCAACCATCTTCGATTGTTTTCTCACTCTGTCTCTCATCCGCAGCTAATGAACGTCGAACTGGATCATGAACGGATATCCTACCTATTGTATCAGATGCTGTGTGGCGTTCGGCATTTGCATTTAGGTGGCATCATTCATCGAGATTTGAAACCGACTAATATTGCCGTACGGCAGGATTGCGTACTGAAAATCCTTGATTTTGGTCTCGCCCGAATCAATGCAAACAATGATGCTTTGACGCCCTACGTGGTCACACGGTAAGTGAGGACAATTTATTCCATATGTTTCATCCTAACCATCCAACTCCTCTTAATGCACTGTCATTGAGATTTGTTGTTAATAAAATAACTGGTTATCTATTCCTGGAGTAAATCAGACTAGACGGTGAATCTGTCTACCCTCAGAGTGGTCTGTTAGTGACAGGATCTAACCTGTCTCTGGCAGCGGTTCAGATGACTGGACTGCCAATTCTATTTTAATTCTGCATTGTATGAAGCTTGACTGCGAAAGATGTTTAATTGACTGCATTGTCGACGTTTAACTCTTGTGCAACTTGATGCTATCATCATCATCATCATCGTACAATACAATGAGGTGAACTTCACTGATGGCTGCCAACCTCACAATGCATACAAGGATAGTGGTTAAATTTAGTGGTCAGGGATTGAACCTATTTTGAGTGAGGGGGAAGGTGAACCTCTGTGGTCAATACATGAAGTACGCAGTCGGGCTCTAAATACATACCGTTTCAAGCATTCTGACCTGATAAGAAATGACAATAAGAACACCACTGCTATCGGTTCGCTGTCATATCCTTCAATGTTTCCAATCAACCGGTTGTGGAGTCTTTCGGACCCCGACCTGGAAGACGCGAGACATCTACTCTACCTAATGGCTTTGTGCATTTCTTCATGTCTTGTCTCCACGTCATCTGTTGACCTCCACGTGGTTTCCTCTAACCCGGATTAGCTACAGCGAATAAAGCGCCGTGCGGCAGACGAAAGCCGGGCATACGCAATACGTGCCGTAGCCAGCAGTCTGCCAATCTGAATTCGATGTGCTAGCAGGTTGACGCCTGATAGACTTCCAATCACACGACGACCAACCTCCAGATTACTAACCCGTTCGCTCCATTCCGCATGGGCTACACTACGTAAACACCGATAGCTGAAAACCTCTACTCGACGGATAGCTTCAACTCGCCAATTCAAGGTCTCACAACCATAAAGCAGGACTGAACGAACGGTGGCACAATATACACGACCTTTCAACCTCAATGAAACGTTTCGTCTACGCTAAATGTGTCTCAGTCCAGCGTATGCTGCTCTCTCCTTGGAAATGTGGTTGGTTATCTTTTTTTTGCTGTGCTACCGTCATGGGTTATGCAACTAATTAAGCAGGAAAAGTGATCCACCATAAACAATTCCTGGCCATTTAGTTTCATAGTGGGAATAGGCGAAACTCAGTCCTGCAGCATCACTTTGCACTATCAAGTGTGCTTTGCGCGTCCCTCAGACTCTCAAACAGACGGACGATATCATGTGCGTACACCAAATCGCACCGTTTTCTCCAGTTGCCCATTGAATACCTACGTTTTGGAGTCCACTTAGTGCGTTCTCCACTATTTCTTCTACGACGACATTGAACAAGAACAACGAAAGAAAGCACCTCTGACGAACGCCGCTGCTGGTGACGAACAGCCTACTTAGTTCGTTGTAAACCCGCACTCGGCTGAAGGTATGTAAGTACAGTGACCTCACTAGGTTAACGTTCTTCTGGGGCATTCCTTTTCGAAGAAGGGAACTCATCAGAGCTTCGCGGTCAACTGAGTCGAAGGCTCCTTTTAGATCAAGAAACTACGATCGTTGGTCGACGGTGGGTGTGACGCAATTCGAACACCTGATGCAACGTAAAAAAATGATCAATACATCCATGACCAGGTTGGATCCCGGCTTGCTGTTCATCGATGTTGGTCTCTCTTGAAGGCGTCAGACGTCTAAGTATGACCGAAGCTAGCACTTTGGCGATGATCGGGATCCCGTGGTGGTTTCGCAATCCTTACGAAGTTCTTTCTTGAAAATGGGAACGGTCAGTGATTCGCCCCAAGGTAAAAGAATGTGCCCTTGCGTCCAAATGTTGCCCATTACGGTAGTAATAGAACCTTCGAGGTTATCACCTCCATCTCGAAAAGAGTTGGAGGGATCTCTTCTGGTCCTGCTGTCCTTCCTCTCCTCAGAGCTTTAATGCAAGACGTAACTTCTTGTTCTGCTGGAGGATCGCATGACTCTGCCCACAGAGCTTCAGTTGCAGATGAGGTAACCTGGTTAACCCTAGGCCGGCTGAAATGTTCGCTGAATTATTCCGCCCAGCGTCGTTGATCCCTACTGTGAATAGTTTGTCCCCTTTTATCTCAGACTATTTCACTAACTAGAGTTCGCATATAAGTGAAAACAGTCACTGACTATTCCCGGATGCAGCTGCTACTTCCATTTCACTAGCTATTGTTGCCCACCAGTTCACACGGTCCTTCTTAAAGCTCTTCGTAAGCTGACGTGTGTCAAATGAAACTACTGAGTTGGGCTACGTCTGTAATGTGAAACATTTGTTGAACGAACGGAATAGCTCTCTCTCTCTCTCTCTCTCTCTCTCTCGCCCTTTGCTTATCCCTAAATGCGTGTGGCCTGAAACCTTCC